TTGTTGCGGGCAGCCAGTTCATAGCCAAGGCACTCAAAAACTTCACCCAGGCTTTGCATTTCTTCTGCCTCTGCTGGCGTACTCATGTGGTCCTTGGCGGCCAAGTTTGTGCGGCCCCTTTGAAGATTGAACCTGCAATGATGTAAAAAAATGGTTTCTTGGGCACAGCAAACCTTTCACTAATTTCGGCATATTTTGCTTCAACATAAAAACGTCGTTTAGGCCGAGGAGGAGGGCCACCTGTCTCAGGTCTCTGATCTAAATTGGAAACCGGCAAGTACAGGGGAACGTGCATCCTGCATCCTAGATCCCAAACAAATAAACGCAAATCACTTTCACAAGAGTTCACGCAAGTCACTACAACCAGCTACAAGTAAGCACGCAGAACTATTTATTTTTCATCCCTTTTTGCCTTCAAATTTCAGAGCTGTGGGCACGCGCAGAAAAACCAACCCAATCACTGACTCACCAGCTCGATCTTTCACTCAATCTAATTGGCTCAAGTCAACCCCAAAACAACTCAATTGAGGTCAGCTCAACGCTAACTCACTGATTCACTCACTCACACGTTCGCCCGCTCACTCGCTTGCTCGCAGAGACACGCTCACTCACTCGCGCACACTCACACTCACACGCACGAGGCCATATGATCACAGGCTCACACACACGCGCGCGCGCGCACTCACACGCTCCATCAGTCACGTCCGTCTGCCCGTCCGCCCGTCCGTCCGTCAGTCCGTGAGTTCGTCCGTCAGTCCGTCAGTCCGTCACCGTCCGTCCGTCAGTCCATCAGTCACACTTACTCATGCACTGATACACACATACACGCACGCTTCACTCAGTCACTCAGTGAATCACTCAGTCATTGGGCCGCTCAGTCACCAGTCATTCACTCACCATTTTAGATGATTTTAGTCTCTATATATCTATATATATATAATATATATAATATATATATATATAATATATATAATATATATATATTATATAATATATATATAATCCTCCTCTGGATTAAGTAAAAAGGGTGGGTGGGTCAGTTCTTTAGTGGACCCAGGGGGGGGGGCTAGAAGTGGGACATCTAAAGAATGGAACCCCAAGCTCTATAGAATGGAGGGACCGGACTAACATATCATAACAAATCTCTATAGAATGGAGCCCCAATCTCTATAGAATGGAACCTCCGAGGGTCCTACAAACAGAGGCATGTCTATAAAATGGAAGAACCGGTGATTGGCTTGAAAAGTGCTTTATTTCATTTTTTCCTTTATTTTTCCCTAGGAAATGGTGAACAGAGAAGTTGTAAAATTATGTGAAAATTTTGTTTGTATTTCAAGATCTTGGACCACCATTCTTTAGAGATTTATAATATTTTATAACTGTTTATGATATGTCAGTGTTTCCGCACGTTTTTGTGTATAAATGGAGGGCCCCAGCACATACCCCTTGATGTCATTGAACCAGTGAGTTCTATAAAATGGAGGGCCTTGTGATGTCATTAAACCAATGTGCTCTAAAAAATGGAACTTCGTTTTTTGAAAACGCACAACTGGTGTCTAAAGAATGGGAAATTGCAAATTTAGAGGTGGTCCCGGATGATAACCCGGAACTCAAAAAAATGGAAACTTCCATTAGATGAGGTCAAATAGCGACCAATATGCCTCTAAAGAATGCAAGTGGTCAAAGATGGAAAACCCATAAAATCCAAATTGCTAAGTAATCGTGGGGCCCAGGCCCGCCATTTCCTAGGGGGAATTCCAAGGGGGATTATATATATATATATATAAAGTATACAAGAAGAACCCGCGCGAGGCGGGTGGCAAAAGTTTCCAAATCGAAGGAATATGGGATCCAAAGACAAGGTTTGCCTATAGGAGATGCAGCGAAGCCTCACATCTTCTCAGCTGTTCTCTGAGTTCGTCTTCTTGTTCAACGATCTCTGCACCTCTTTTCAGATCTTGCCACCTCTTCTCAACTCTTCTCACGACTTCTCACTTCTTGTCAACTGTTCTCAACGACTGTACTCTCTGTCCACCTCTTCGCAGCAAACTTTTACACAGAGGAGCTTTTAAACAGAGCAAGCTTCTACACAGAGCAAGCTTTTACACAGAGCAGCTTTTACACCGAGAAACTTTTACAGACAAAAAAAATTTACACAGAGAAAGCTCTTACACAGAGAAGCTTCTACACAGAGAAACTTTTGACACAGACAGAGGAGCTTTTACACAGAGCAAGGTTTTACACTGACAACCTTTTGCACAAAGGAGCTTTTACGCAGAGAAGCTTTTACGCAGAAGCTTTCACATGGAGAAGCTTTTACACAGAGAAGCTTTTACACAAAGAAGCTTTTATGCAGAGAAGCTTTTACACAAAGCCAGCCTTTACACAATGAAACTTTAACCTGCATGGCAACAGAAATTACAGCCAAAACCGGGCCTCGGCGCCAAAGCGGAAAAATGACGATTTTTGAAGCGCTTTTTACAATAAAGGAATTTTATAAAGGCAGCGCCAAAATGGAAAAAAAACAACTGCTGCCATATCACCATCGCACTTTTGGTGCAGCCACTGCAATATGATGTACGACTCTCAGCTGTATATATTCCGCACGCAGCCGCATCAGCGAGAAGCCTATGCAAAAGATTAAAAAAAATCCACGCGCAGCCGCAGCAGCGAGGAACCTTGACGCAGCTATTCCACTGCGATCTGCAAACACTGTGTTGCAAAACGCAATAGAACTTCACGCAGCCGCATCAGAAACTGCAGCTCCAGTCCAACCGGATCTCAGCGCCACAGCGGAAAAATGACGATTTTGAAGCGCTTTTTAAGTTTAATAAGAATTTAGATGGAATCAGTGCCAAAATGGAGAAAAAGTTGCTGCCAAATCACCATCGCACCCTTGATGCAGCCACTCCACTACGATTTACGACTCTCAGCCGCAAATAGTATTACGCACACAGCCGCAGCAGCAAGAAGCTTTTGCAGCCATTCCACTGCGATCTATAGACAGTAGCTGCAAAACGCAAAAGAACTACGCGCAACGGCAGCAGGCTCAGCAGAAGCTGCAGCTCCAAAGCTGGATCTCGACACCAAAGCGGAAAAAAGACAGACAATTTTGAAATGCTTTTTAAAAGGAACTTTAAAAGGAAAATCAGCCCCAAAATGCAAAAAAGATTTGCTACCAAAGCACCATCCGTCACCGTCATGCAGCCACTACAATGCGATTTACGATTCTCGGGTGCAAAACACAATACTAGTACCACGCAGCCGCAGCAGCGAGAAGCCTTTAAGCAGCCACCCGACTACGATCTGCAGAGACTGCGGGGCAAAACACATTATAGCAAAGCGTCAACAACCAAAAACAAAAAGTCACCTGGAAGCCTCACTTCCAATGCCAGCGCCGTCCAAACTAGCTTAAAACCCGTCGCGCAAGCGAGCCAACTTTTCTCCGCAACGAAACCTCTGTTTACCCGAAAAAAATCGAAAAAATACACTGTTTCGTCCAAATCTTAACATTCAAATCTCAGCTCTGATGTAAAACAGTTCCACAGTTCCACTGCGACCTGCGACGACTGAGCTGTAAAACACAAAAGCATCGCAAAACATGACTTAAGAACAAGTCGCTTTCATGCAGCGGTTCCAATGCACCAAGTAGCACAGCTTCAGCAGAGAAAGAAAGAAAGACAGAAAGTCACCTCGAAGCCTCACTTCCAATTCCAAAGCCGTTCGAGAAAGATTTGACTCTAGTGCGACGATGCCTAACCCCGTCGCGCAAGCGAGACAACTTTCTCCGCAACGAAACCCGTTTACTTGAAAAAACACACAGTTTCGTCCAAATCCTAAAACATTCAAAACACGTCATTGAGCAGTCCCACTGCGACCTGCAACGACTGAGTTGCAAAACACAAAAGCATCGCAACACATGACCTAAGTCGCTTTGTTGCAGCAGTTCCAAGGCACCTCAACACACGCAAACTCAACAGAGAAAGAAAGTAAGTCACCTGGAAGCCTCACTTCCAATAGTTTGCTCGAGAAAGCACAATGTGTCGTACAAATCCTAACATTCATTCAAATGTCAGCTTTGATGTAGCAGTTCCAGTGTGATCCGCAGAGACTGAGTTGCAAAACACAATCAGATTCGCAACACATGACCCAAAAGCACTTCCTTTCCCTAAGCAGGAACATGCTCTACTCTACTCTACTCTTCTCTTCTCTTCTCTACTCTTCTCTGCACATCTCTGCTCTACTCTACTCTACTCTACCCTACCCTACTCTACTCTACTCTACACCCTACTCTACTCTACTCTACTCTACTCTACTCTGTCCTACTCTAGTCCACTCTACTCCACGCTACTCTACTCTACTCTACTCTGCTCTACTCTACCCTACTCTACCCTACTCTACTCTACTCTACTCGAACGCTACTCTACTCTACTCTACTCTACCCTGCTCTACGCTACTCTACTCTACTCTACTCTGCTCCACGCTACTCTACTCTACTCTTCTCTACTTACTCTAACTCATCTCTACTCTACCTCTACCGCTGCCCCTACCTCTACCTCTACCTCTACCTCTACTCTACCTCTAGTCTGCCTCTACTCTACCTCTTCTCTACTCTACCTCTTCTCTACTTCACGCAGGTGCCCACAGGACACAATGACCTTTGGGCTAGTGAGACTGTGACTCAATGATCTCTTAACGCAGGTGCCAACTGGACACAATGATCTTTGGACGAATGAAAATGTGACTTATAATCATCTCTTAACGCAGTTGCCCATTGGACACAATGATCTTTGGGCTAGTGTGAGAATGTGAAAATCCATAACTCGGCGTTTCCTCAAAGAAACTTTCCTTTGATTGTGGAATGCTCCATCTTTGGGGACTTAATTAAATCTGCTTTGAATTTGCAATCATATGGGGTTTTCCCACCAAAATAAGCTATGTCATGACCGTCATAATCCAATTTCTGTCGCCCAATCATCTTCCACTATTGCCACCAAGCATCACACAGTCGCTGTGGCGCCTCCCTCGGCCGGTTTCACCTCTTCCTGGGTGGCCTTGGCCTTGGCCTGGAAGGAAGCGGAGCTGACCTTGGCTGATGAGCTGGGAAAACTCTTGGGCCACGACTTGAGGGGAAGGAGTAGGGACGAAAGCTGGGAAGGTATAGGGAAAAGGAGGAAGGCATGGTGAAAGAGGGGTGAAGAATTGGGAGATACGAAGTGGAGTATTAAGTGGAATTTAACGGTGATGATGATGATGATGATGATGGTGATGGTGATGGTGATGAGGATGATGAGGATGATGAGGACGCCGAGGATGTTGACGACGACGAGAAGGCGCCGATGTCCGGCAAAGCTGCTTCAAAGAAAAGTGACCTGCGATTCCAGCCCCTGTCAATACCTTGCTATTTAAAGCTTTCGTGATTTTGCGAAAGGCCCGCTGTCAAAGCCCAATCTTGAGATCACAGCTACGTTGAACCATGTCATGGGATCAGTAAGGAGCTGCCCAAAGAGCAAGGGTGGCTTGACCCCACAAGGGCATTTGAATGTCAGCAGATTGACTAGCAGACATTGCGGAATTGGTCAAAGTGATTGTGTTCCCCCCACAATCGGATCTTCTTACATTCACCAGCCGTAGCTGCTGGTTTTTACCTCTACAGATATGAAATGGATGCACAAGATGGTGCAAAGACATGCTTTCTGAAGGAACAAGAGTTGCCAACGCCATGTGGGAGACTGTAGCTTCAAGGGACAAGTGGATGTTTTACACCACAGTCACCACCCCACCAACCGACACCCACCACCTGCACCCACCAACTACACCAGCCACCCATCCACGACCCACCGCCGCCCACCCAGCGGCGGCGGCGTCTCTGAGGGTGCGTCTTGGGGTGATACTGCTGGTAGTAATGTGAAATGTAGAAGCATCATATTAATATGTGGACAAATTTGTATCATGTAGTGTCAGTGCATGTGTATGTGTACAAAAAATCAACTCCTTTTGCGTAGTGCAAAGACGGAAAAAATAACCATGAAGTTTCTTCAGGTATAGAAACAAATATGGGTACAAACTTGTCATGTGTGCATATCTACATATATGATATATACCTGCTAAACATGAAACCTAAGAATTCCTAGGGCAACTAGTTATTTGCTCTGTGCCCTAGAAATTCACTAAAATTTTTAAGGTGCCCTAAGAAAATGACTTCGAAACCGTTGACCTACTTGAAGTGCATTCAGTGTCAGGTGCGTTCAAGCCCGTTCAAATCCATCCTCAAAAGAGACACCAATTTTGCGTAGCCGTACCCATTCAAACCTGTACCCGTTCCGATGAGTTCAAAACCCGTTCAGAATGCGTTCAAAATGAGTTCGGTGCCCGTTCGCGAATGCAAGCAGCAAAATGTTGCCTTTTGTTTCTTTCAAATTTGCCATAATTAGCGTGCGGACCCAACTTTTAGCGCTCGCACTAGACATGAACTTAAATGAAACCGAATAACTAGTGATTTCAATTTGCACTCGGAACTTCTAGGTTTTTTTTGCCAAGTAATCGTATAAGGTGCAGATTTTTTTGATGTAGTTTTTTTTCGTGTTTCAGTGTGGGGTGTTTTTCCTGTGTCATTTGCTACATTTTGGAGCTACTAACACATGCAATCTTTGGAGCAGTTTCTCATTTGCATTGTTCATTTGCTTTTCCATGGTTTCATCGATTTTTCCAATGCATCAATCGATTTTTCCATGGTTTCCATCGATTTTCCCATCGTTTTCATCGATTTTCTATAATGTTCATCGATTTGTGCATGTTTTCATCAATGTTTCCATGGTTTTCTGTCTCTTTTTTTCATATGTTTTAAATAATTACAATTCTTGCACATAAATAGACATAAACCATCGAAGGAAATTTAGAAGTCAAACTTCCGACAATATGGACAAATGAAAAAGCAGAGGTGGGAAGAGTCAGAGAAGAGAAGAGAAGAGAAGAGAAGAGAAGAAGAAAGAAGATCAGAGAAGAGAAAGAGGCAAAGACGGAAGATGCAGGTGCGCGAAAAGGTAGCAAAGTCGCGAAACACCGTGTTTTTCCAATGATTTGTGGCTTCGGAGGGTCGAAAAGTAGGCTCGCTAAAGCGGCGGGTGCGGAGCCATCTGGCCAGATGAGAAATGAAAAATTGCACGCTGTTGTGGCGCGAAGCACATTTCGAAGCCAAAATGTGCAAAACACAGCAGGCTTGAGGCACTTTTGGAAGTTGAGATATTGAAACTTGCACGCCGTTGTGGCGCGTAGCACATTTCCAAGTCAAAATGTACAACACACTATTCTCGGAGCACTTTTGGAAGTTGACACGTCGAAAAAGGGCACCGCGTTGTGCCGCGAAGCACATTTCCAAGTCAAAATGTTAGAGACATTAAAAAAAACTAAACGCACCACCATGCTCGGGCCACTTTTGGACGTTCAGGTGTCGCTTGGTGTAGCAGGTTGCAAGGGATTCTGCACCTTCCCAAGAGTGAGCAAAACGTGAGGGTTTTGTAGCAGTTCCAAAAGCATTGGCAGGCGTGGGACATTTGAAGGGGATCTGCAAAAATGTATTTTGTGTGGCAAGCGCAGTACAAGAGACATGTTCATCAGAGCTGTTAGGAGGTCCGGGCGCTGATTTCCTGAGAGGGGTTGCATTTTGGAGCGTCAGATCTTCAGTTTTGGGAAGATGATTTGGGTGACAGGTGCAGCACTTCGTATGACCTGGCGTCACTTTTTCGTTGCAGGCGCAGTACTTCAATGTACTTCAGACAGGTGGAATGGAAAAATCGCATTGGTACGAGGCCGTTGGCTTTGCACTCAACTTTCCATGTTTGAAGGGAGTCTCGTAGAATTGCATTGTTTTTGATGTTGACAACTCCGAAAATTGAGGAAGTCTCGCAGAATTGCTTCGTTTTTGACGTTGTCAAGTTGAAAAACAGCGGAAGTCTTGCAGACCTGCTTCTTTTTTGATGCTGTCAAGGTCAACAACTGAGGAAGTCTCGCAGAATAGCTTCGTTTTCAAGCTTGCAGATAGATAGACAGATAGACAGATAGACAGATAGATAGATCTAGCAATTGTGGTGAGGTGACCACTGCAACCATTGCAACCACTCCAAAAAAAAACAACTCGGACTCCAACCACCTTTCGGTCCATCAGTGGATTCGCTCTGCCATCCGTGATTCATCACAACAACCAATATTTGAAACTTCTGCCACCGCCTTGTGCGGTACTACCGGTTGAAAAAATGTCTATATAGTGTATGTATATATATATATATTGGCCAAAAGGAAGTTGAGAAGTCTACACTCCCGTTTTAAGGAGATTTGAAGTGAGTGAAAACTCACAGCAAAGAAGTCTCACAGCAAAGAAAATCGGACAGCGAAGAAGTCTCACAGTAAAAGAAGTCTCAAAGCAAAGAAGAATCACGGCAAATAAGCCTCACAGCAAAGAAATCGCACAGCAAAGAAATCCCACAGCAAGGAAGCCCCACAGCGAAGAAGTCCCACAGCAAAGAAGCCCCACTGCAAATAAGTACCACAATGAAGTCCCACAGCAGAGAAGTATCACAGCAAAGAAGATTCGCAGCGAGGAAGAGTCACAGCAAAGAGGCCCATCATCTGCGTCCCTAAAAATCGATCCTAAACTTCGAGGTAAGTTCCAATCATCTGCGCCCCTGAAAACCGACCACCTGCGCCCCTAAGCTCTCACATAGAAACATATTTCTCAGGGCCACGACCCTTTAGGTTGTAGGGCAACGATCATGGCGCAATATAGGAAAAATATTACATAGAAACATACTTCTGAAGGGAGGGATCCTTTAGGTTCGGAAAGGGGGAACTATCGTGGCACCATATAGGAAGAATATCGCGGAGAAATATCACATAAAATCATAGAAACAACATGCGCATCTGGGGTGGTGTGGGGTAAGGTGGGGTGGGGCGTGGGGTGGGGTGGGGTGGATGTTAACGTCCTGTCACATGCGCACCAGAATGGGAACCTTCACTGACACGTGCACCAAATAATGACGTTCAGTCACAATGACTCATATTCATCAACATGCGCATCTGGGGTGTGGGTGAGGTGGGTGGGGTGGGGAAGGGTGGGGTGGGGAAGGGTGGGGAGGGGTGTTCACGTCCTTTCACATGCGCACCAGAAAGGGAACGTCCTCTGACACGTGCACGTGCGAGACGGGGACTTCCCTCATAAAGTGAAAGTGGAAGATGTGAACACGAAGCTTTTGTGCAAGACTTCCCTCAAAAAGTGATAGTTGAAGATGTGAAAGCGAAGCTTTCGTGCGAGACTTCCCTCAAAAAATGAAACTTGCCATTATCACAACGAAGGTTTACGATAACCTGTGCAACACTTGGTTTGTGCGACCTGCGTGGCACCTTAAGCCCATCTCATCACCCGCCCCTATTCTAAGATCATCTCTCGAACAAGTGTAGCCCCAAGAGCGGTTTAGGGGCAGAGACAATGAGGGAACCAGCACAGAAATCTCACAGCAAAGAAGTCTCAGAGCAAAGACGTCTTACAGCACAGAAGAATCACAACAAAGAAGAATCACAGCAAAGAACTCTCACAGCAAAGAAGCCTCACAGCAAAGAAGTCTCTGAGCAACGAAGCAAAGAAATCATACAGCCAAGAAGTCTCACAGCAAAAAAACTCGCAGCAAAGAAGCCTCACAGGAAAGAAGCCTCACAGCAAAGCATAATCACAGCAGAAAAAACGCAGCAAAGAAGCCTCACAGCAAAGAAGCAAAGAAGTCTTACAGCCCAGAAGTCTCACAGCAAAAAACTCGCAGCAAAGAAGTCTCACAGCAAAGAAGCCTCACAGCAAGCACAATCACAGCAAAAAAATCACAGCAAAGAAGTCCCACAGCAAAGAAGTTTCACAGCAAAGCAGCATCACAGCAAAGAAGCAAAGAAGTCTTAAAGCCAAGAAGTCCCACAGCAAAGAACATTGCAGCAAAGAGTCTCACAGGACAGAAGATCACAGCAAGGAAGTCCCACAGCAAAGAAGTCTCACAGCAAAGAAAACCGGACAAAGAAGAAGTCCCACAGCAAAGAAAATCGGACAGTGAAGAAGTCTCACAGCAAATAAGTCCCACAGCAAAGCCGTCTCACAGCAAAGAAATCTCACAGCAAGGAAGTCCCACAGCAAAGAAGTCTCACAGCAAAGAAATCGGACGAATTAGTCTCACAGCAAAGAAATCGGACAGCGAAGAAGTCTCGCAGCAAAGAAGTCTCAAAGCAAAGAGTGGGGAAGCGAAGAGAGACGGGAATGAAGAGAGAGGGGAAGTGAAGAGTAAGCAGAGCGAAGAAGCGCATAAAATAGGGAAGCGAAGAGTGAAAAGAAGAGAGAAGTGAAAAGAGTAGGAGCATGAAAAGAGAAGTAAAGAGAGTGGGGAATTGAAGAAAGTGGGGAAGTGAACGGAGGGAAGTAAAGAGACTAGGGAAGAGAGGGGAGTAGCGAGAGTAGGAATGTGAAGAAATGAGGAAAGTGACAAGAGTAGGGACAGGAAGAGAAAAGGGGAGTGAAGGGGAGTGAAGGGAGTAGCGAAGGTAACATGGTCACTTGTGACCCTATTATCCGGTCACTTGCGACCCTATTCTACCCGGCGACTTGCGACCCTATTATCCGGTCACCTGCGACCCTATCCCTTTATTTACACCCCCCCCCTGCGTTCCACAATACAATGGTCTCCATTCTACTTCTTTATTTAAACTTCCCCCCCTGCGTTCCACTAAACCATTGTCTCCATTCTACTTCTTTATTTAAACTTCCCCCCCTGCGTTCCACTATACCATGGACTCCATTCTACCTCTTTATTTAAACTTTTCCCCCCCTGCGTTCCACTAAAGCATTGTCTCCATTCTACTTCTTCATTTAATGCGTTCCACTATTTCATGGACTCCATTCTACTTCTTTATTTAAACTTCCCCCCCCTGCTTTCCACTATACCATTGTCTCCATTCTACTTCTTTATTTGAACTTCCCCCCCCTGCGTTCCACTAAACCACTGTCTCCATTCTACTTCTTTATCTAAACTTCCCCCCCTGCGTTCCACTAAACCATTGTCTCCATTCTACTTCTTTATTTAAACTTCCCGCCCTGCGTTTCACTAAACCATGGTCTCTATTCTACTTCTTTATTTAAACTTCCCCCGCCTGCGTTCCACTATTTAAACCATTGTCTCCATTCTACTTCTTTATTTAAACTTCCCCCCTCCTGCGTTCCACCATACAATGGTCTCCATTCTACTTCTTTATTTAAACTACCCCCCTCCTGCGTTCCAACAAACCATGGTCTCCATTCTACTTCTTTATTTAAACTTCCCCCCCTGCGTTTCACTAACCATTGTCTCCATTCTACTTCTTTATTTAAACTTCCCCCCCTGCGTTGCACTATACCATTGTCTCCATTATACTTCTTTATTTAAACTTCCCCCCCCTGCGTTCCACTAAACCATGGTCTCTATT